AGGCACAACGGAGGATTCATTTCACGCATTTTGGGACGCACTCATTGTCAACCCTTTTAGGGTTGGATATCCACAAGGAGTCTACAATCGAAACACATCTCTTCATACTTCCACAAGACGATATAGACCCGACCTTTCATACTTGGCATTGGATGCCTGCCTTGCGAGAGGAGAGGAAAAGGGTCCCGATAATGATGACGATCCAGGGGAAGAACTAGTTTCAAAATTGACATGGACGTATGGAAATTGCCCATATATATTCGGGTATCATGCAAAATGTGCCACAGTGACATACTGTTATTTGTACACTGAAGGTGAAGAGATTAAGCGTAAGGATCTGATCACAGTTAACCTAAATGAATTGGAAGGACGCCTCCAAGCTTTCGCTATCGGAAGGAACATTGGCCGACTATTGCCTCTACTTCGTCAAACCCTCCCAGGGTATTTCCAGCGGGAGTTTACCATACTTCACCGATCAGGTGGCAAGGTGGTCGAGTTTATGCAAGCGGTAGTTGTCAAACGCTACCCTGAGGTGGCATTTGTTAATAATCTCAAGGCCTATTATGATATAATGGCTAAGAACCAAGTTCCTTTCATTGATCGATTGGTGCACATAAACACTGAGGAGGGGAAAACCCCATTCGTGATCCTTTCTCCAAAGGGCATGGTGCATAAACCACAATCATTAGAAAAACTAATCATAGCATTGTATTGTGTATTAACTGCCCTTAAGGTACGCGTTGTCCGTTCATCTCGCTTACTGCCTGTCATCTTGTAAACCATAGCGCTTTCTACTAATAATTATTACAGTCTCTTCACAGCTTGAAGATCATGCATCGTGACATTCGCTGGGAGAATGTGCTGAAGAATATTGAGAAGGACAGATGGTTTATTATTGACTTCGATGATGCGTGTTCTTCACCTTCGTCTATTCCTCACAACGCATTGGCTTACGAGAGCCATGCACCAGAGATTTTTACTGGCGTTCATGATACGAGCGTGGATATCTGGTCGGTTGGGTATCTCATTCTGACAACGTCTGTGAAACACGAACCATTAATCGATTACGCAAAGAAGATGATGGCAAAAAATTATCTGGAGAGGCCAACAGCTCACGAATCGTTACAGTGGCTTTGGAGTAATTTTGAAGACGTTCTCAAGGGAGAAGTTTTGAAGTAATGGATTATCAAGGAATCATAGCGCATATATGC